ATCTCAAACAGGTCGTCTCCTTGCTGCAGGATCACTTGCTGAGGAATATAGATGCGCAGTTTCATGACTGCTGCAAGCTCCTCTAGCGGTTTTCCTGGCAACTGTTTTAAGTCAGGGATTTCTGCCAAGCTTGTTGATAACTCGATCCGGTCATAGTCCTTCACAAACTGCCTCACGTAACTGCGGGGAAGCCTCAATGGAATCTGTGCGGTCGCGTCACGCTACATGTTTGTGTGGTCTCACGCGCATGTTCGACAATGGCCACTTTCGTTGCTACTGCAATCGTAAAATTATTGTAGGAAGAGACGATGATTATAGTGAACATTTTTTTTGACCGTCAATGATTTTGCAAAACCGTTTGGCAGCTACACTTAGAACATTGGTCCTAATCATCACTTGGAGCATCTCGACTCACGTCTTAAAACATGAAGGGACTTCAAGGTTTAGAACATGGATATGCGGTCAAGTATATGCATATTTACACGCAACTCCTGATTCAATACGTCAGCCAAGTCTGCAGAGCACCGATTCCTTGATTTCTATTAAACAAAATAGATATCTTTAACAAATAGCAAAAAATGCAAAAGTATTTAATCGTTTAGATTTTCTTGACAATTATAGTGGATGGTCCCTCCACCCTTGGCCTTTTTTCAAGGACAACGCTCTATGCCATTGTGCCGGATGCGAGCGTTCTAATCCTAAGAGTTAGAACGCGCTCGTAAAAGTATACAAATTTCCAAAACACATTACTGTATTCCAAGTACAAAAGTCTTGGACTATACGCAAACGACGTAGCCCGGTGGTTCTTAGGATCTCGAGCGACTCCGCAAATGGCCTTTGCTTGCTGATGTAGGTTGATGTCATGACTGTGAAGCGCGCAGTTCTACGGTTCCACTGAGGTCTTTAACTAGTTTTAGGCAATTTGCTGGGCGAACGCGCTTCCTGGGCGACGCCGCTTGTGCCTTTTTTGTCGCAGACGTTGTGCTCAAAACGGCGGTGCCCGGCGCCCAATGAGGCGCCGGGTTCACCAGTTTCTGCGCCGCAGTCGGATTTGGTCACCTGCGTTGATTCACTTTGCGGTTGGAGGCACGTCATTTGGAGGACAAGTGAATATCTGAAAAAGAAAAAATACAAATCGCATACGAAGTTAATCTCTCATTGGATTGCTGTGACATCATAATAGTTGGCGTCGCTTACGGGCCGCACTTCCTGTTTGTAGATCACATGTCAGTTCGAGAATTTGCTTGTGGCATTGTTGATGCAGCAACCACAAACGGTATGCACAAATGGCGACAAAGTCCTCCATGAAATTCCCATGGTCGGTCCGGGCTCCACATTCTATAGCAATAACATGTTGGAGCCCACCTTTTTTGCTCTATAGAATGGATTACCCCAGCTAACAGGATGGACACCAGCTCACTATAGAGTGGGGAGCCCATGGGGGCCCAGACCGACCAAAACCAACCAAAGTGACACCTTTGTACGCCTATAACCTAAAATAGACCCAACCATAATTGGTTTACCCCACCCGCCTTCCAGACCTTCATTGGGTCAAGATAAACGCTCAAGCGCACACATTAAAAAACATTTATAAGGGGTCATGTTTGCAAGGAAATGAAGGCTTCATAAAACAGCTGACAATGATGGACAGCCACATTTCTCGCTCTTGCTGTGCACGGTCTCTGTTTATGTTCTGCTCTATTGAAAGTGTATATGCTTCGCATATACCATTGGACAGTCCCCCATTCCAAAAAACTATCACTAGGGCTCCGGGCTCTCCTTCATTATTTCTATCTGTGAAGTTGCACAACTAAACCCAAACATAAAATTTCTTGATCTGGATTGATCTGGCAATGTCTCGGCGAAACATGAGAACTCATCACCTGTAACACCCCACAGCATCCTTCAAATAAAACAACCATGTAAAACCAGCATCTCAGAACAACAGAAATGCCAACAACACAATGTCTCGGCGCTTCGCTGGGACATTTCATGACCAGTAAGCTACCGAAATTATTTTCTTTGTTGATTACTATTTTTGCTTGGCCAGTGGTTCCTGTGCCACTCTTTCCTGGCTCAGAATGGCTTAGATGTGTTATTTTCTGCGCCTTTCATTGAGCCAAATGGTTTTTTTGGCTTCAAGAATGCTGTGCTTGTAGAATTTCAGAATGGCTGGAGTCCAGCACCTGAAACAGCGCTTGATCTGAGATTATAGGATGCCTTTCCATAGAATGGATAGGAGTCCACCCAAAAAGAGCTGTCCATAAATTGAGTGCCCCTCCACTTTTGGAGTCTCTTTAACAGAGTCATGTTGTTCGTAGAACCGTTTTATGCAGGAGCCTGGGGGGACAGATTTTATGGATGAACATTTTACAGGGATGCGACAAAACAAAAAAGCACAATTTGCCTTTGAAAGCAAGGTGACAACGAGAACTCTTGCTGAAGCTCTTCAGATGCTTCTTCTTCTTGTGATGTCCAGGGAATACGTTTGCTGGCATCCTTTTCGATGCGGTCTTCGACCAACTGCCGGAAAATGCCGGAGTCGTCCGGGAAGGTGGCAAAGCATTGCTGCAGTGCCTCCATGGTGATCACCTTAACGATGCATTGAGAAGTTGCTTTCACTGTTGCCTTTGGAGCACGCCAAAGTCCCAAAACATTGAACTCGCCAAATAGAACTGCATCAGCAAGGTCTCCAACTTCAATGTTGATCTGCAGGTCTCCATCTTTCAGGATTGCAACCGATCCCTCGCACAAAAGGTAGGCATCTGAATTCGGAGCTTTGTCTTCAAAAAGTGTCTGGCCCACATCCAGCTTCAAGTGCTGCGCGTTGGCTTCCAGCATGTTCACAAAGTCTACGGAAGCATGCTCAAACAGGCGAATCTTCCTAAAGGATTGTTCTTCAATCGTCAGAAGCTTCTTGAACTGCACATATATTCGATCATCCTTGATGAACAGTTCCAACAAAGATGAACGCGGCCAAGAATATGTGATAACCACACTTGAGGCGGGCATCACGGTAGCATGACACACCCTGAGCTCCTCTCCCAAAGAAAACACCGAACGTTCTCCAAGGACGCTCTTGGGCCCCAGCGTCGAAACAAGTTTACCGTCAACCAGCACATTTGCCTGACCTGCGTAAATCACATGCAATGCATCTGCAAGTTTGCCTTGCGAAAGTATCTCTTGATCAGCCTTGAAGGTGTTCTTCTTTACCATCAAGAGAAGCCGTTCTAGGCTAAACACATCAAACTCTGAGAAGAAATCAATTCCATCCAGCCAGGCAGCAACGGCATTTTGTGCGGCTTCAAGCTCCTCATTGTTGGCAAAACGCTGGTCACTCACCAGGGCAATCGGGGAGTGCACTGCAGATTCGGACCGTTTCCTTAGTGAAATCTGACACGCACCGGCTTCCCTTCCAATGTTTTCGACTTAGCATGCGGTCTATAGGCCGCATGAGCATACAAAACATCAAAAGCTTCTTTTGTGACTAAAGTTTTTGCTTGTATACCTACGCCTATGCAGTGCAACGAAACCTTAGCCGAAGGCACAGGGCTAATCAGTCACAACATGCTATCACCGTGATGAAGAGAGCACTCGACGAACACGCTTGAAGTTGTTGCGAGTGAATTCGGACGTGGATCGCAAAGCTAAGCAGCCTTTCACCTGAATTCAACGAATTTACGATTGAGCTTGAACACGTTGTCGTGACAATGGAGTCGAGTCTATTTGTTTGTCGAGCTCTTAAAGGGCCATTGAATGTTTAACGGGGCCGGGCAAGCTCCGTGTGGTGGAACAATCGTGCAGGGCTGCAGGGCACCGTTTGAGTACCTACATGTACCTACCGTTTATTGAGTCGACGGTGCTGAATCAACCGATTTCTTGCTCTTGCAGATCCTGCAACTACACTAACACCCACGACAGTAGTGTACAGGGACAGCTGCATATCCATGCGCATTGTCTCTCTCGGCGGAGTGCTGCACGGGGTTGCGCAGTATGCTCTGTTCACGCACCGCGCTATACACGCAACAATCAAGTAACACATGGTGCTGTGCTGCATACCCTTACCACAAACCATCACAAACCGTAACCTACTGCAGGAAGCCTTGATAGTGTTGCAGGCAATGGCAAAACTTGAAGGGATTTTACATTGAATGGCACAACGATGAGACAACTGGTCAAAAGCAAGTCTCGGATGGAAGGATCTGTCACGCATTTTTTCGCCTCTGTCATTGAGGCCTGAGGTGGCGGATCTCAAAGCCACGGGTTTGAGTTTTGAGGAGGCTCGCGGACTTTCGGCCTTTGACTTTGAGTGGTCGGCTTTCATCTGCGAATGAAATGCTGCAGCGTGAACCTTGTTGGCATCTGCTTCATGGTGCGTGAAGAAGGTCCGAAGATCGTGAGAAGTAAGAACCATAAAATCCGAAAATGATGTCGTTGTGACCGTCTGGCTCCAAACATGATCCATTAGAAGCCCAACGGGTGGACCGATCACTGCTCCATCGACATATGTTTGGACCTTTTTGCCATGCACAACAGCATCAGCAGTTCCCTTTCCCATAAACCACAAGCGGTCTACTCGTTCTCCCTCTCTGGCCAGAAGCTCCTCTGGTGCCAAAAAGCAAACCTGTAACTTCACGGCAATCATTCTCAATACTGGTTCCTTCAAAGCCCTGAAGAAATCAATCCTCCGCAAGCTCTCCAAACCACGACTCACAATGGGCTCGCAAACCCGCTGTTGAATCGATACATCTTTCTTAGACGACATTGGCTCGGCGCAAGGTTCAGTTTTTCATAGGTATCTTATGGGATTGTTCATTGTTACAAAGTGCTGTGGAGTAGTGTGGTTGAACTTTGAACACATTGGATTGGCTGAGTTTTGCTCAGCCATTCACCACCTGTTCCTGATCTTCGGGCAAAATTCTGATTTAAAACCTGGCTCTCCAATGTTCGTCAATTTTCTGCATGTCTAGTTCTCAAACCAAACAAACTCTCGGTCGCTCTTTCTCTGCTAGAACATGCAAATCATCTCCTTTGGCACATTCAGACTGTGCTTCGTCCCATTACATGCAAGCTTTGCTTGGCAAAAGCGTAAAGTTGTGGCGGTGTCAAATTTGACACTGCATCAATTAAAAATACACTTGTCACACATCTAAACAAAGCGGCAAAATCGGTTCAAATCATCTTGGCCAAATAGAACAAAAAACAACCAAGAGCAACCTCAAACCGTTCTGCATTTCAATTTGGCAACGCAGTATGTTCACTGTGAAAACTCAAAGCGCCCGCTGTCGAATTGAGTTTTGGGCGATATTGTCCACCTCATACAAACAAATAATGCGACCCACTCCCAAAACCGGACTTCTCTGTCCATGTTCGTAAAGGTAACAAACGTCCAAGACCCATATACTATCTATACTGTCTGTACGCAACTAGCAGGTGTCTAGCGCCGAACAACCTTGGTGATCAAACATGCGGCGTCTTAAATGGATTCAGATTCCGATTCCCACCTGACTGAGGACAGTGGCAAGGCAATGGCAGATGCCTTTTTCCAAGCACCGCTTAGCATGTGGAGAATTCACTGCAAGCGTGCTTGGCCACATCGTTGTGGATGTTTTGATGAAGTGACAAAAAAAACAATCGACCCAGCAGTTTCTACCAAGATCTGCGCCAACTTGCCATGGTCAATCAGCAAGCTTCCTATGACCTCCAGCTGATCTAAATTGTGCTGCCAGCATGACTCGTTTTGACAAACACACGTGCCTTAAATCAAAAATCACCAAGAGCGTGTGCAAGGAAAAAAACGGATAACCCCACATGTTATCAATGTCACCAGACACAGGAGCGGACAATTGGTGGTTGGTGGTTGGTGGTGGTTGGTTGGTGCTTGGTGGTTGGTGGTGGTTGGTTGGTGGTTGGTGGTTGGTGGTGGTTGGTTGGTGGTTGGTGGGTGGTGGTAGTTGGTGGTTGGTGTCAGCTGAACCCTTCTGCTTTACCACGCAGACAGCGTGAAAAATACAGAACCCAGGAGAGCAAGCCGGAGGCTGCTGGTGTCATGCATGTGTGATCATGTGTGCAAACTGCCAGTGGCTGAACATCATGCAGTTGGCAGAGAACCTGGCTTCAAGAGTCGGTGCTCGGTGGCTACGTGACATGGGCCTGCATCGGCCCTTGGGCCCTGGCAGCCGTCCGGTGGGTGCGGCTTCGACAACTCTGCGCCCATCAGTGGATTGAGAAATTTGGGAAGCAGCTGTTGGCTGAAGGCGTACATCCAGCCCTTGGAGAGCACCAAGTACCGCGCCTGCCACGCAAATCACACCCGCAACTGCGGCGACCAAGCGACACCACGCCAAGTCTCCAAACCGAGCGTTTCGTACGAGACTTCCTCCAAAATTCAACAGTGAAGTGCCAAGTCTCCAAAAACGAGCGTTTCGTGCGAGACTTCTCCAAAAGTCACACGTCCAAGTCTCCAGAACGAGCGTTTCGTACGAGACGTCCTCCAAAAGTCAAGCGTCCAAGTCTCCAAAACGAGCGTTTCGTACGAGACTTCCTCCAAAAGTCAAGCGTCAAAGTCGCAAAAAGTAATGAAACCCCTATAGTTTGAGCACTCGACCCACCTGATCTCCGCAGAGGGACGCCCGACGACAAACAAAAGTAGCAAAAAGCCTAGCGTTTGAGCACTCGACCCAGCCGATCTCCGCAGAGGGTTGCCCGACGAAAAACACAAATAACAAAACCCTAGCGTTTGAGCGCTCGACCCGCCCGATGTCCGCAGAGGGGTGCCCGATGAAAAACAAAAGTAGCAAAAACCCTAGCGTTTGAGCACTCGACCCACCCGATCTCCGCAGAGGGTTGAATCAAAATTTTTATTAGTTGCAAAAACCTGACCTTTGAACACATGACACGTGCGATCTTCGCAGAGGGTCGCCTCTCGATTAACCTGGCCCGCGCCACCCCGCGGCCTTAAGAGAGAATAGAATAAAGAAGTCGAGATATGGATGGAGATGCTCGTGCGATAAGACTCGTGTGATAAGACTTGTATGATTGCGCTTGTGTTATGATGCTCTTATCTTGATTGATTATCTTGATATGATGCTCATGTGATAAGACTTGTATGACTTGTATGATTACGCTCGTGCGATACTGCTCTTATCTTGATGCTCATCTTGATGCTCATGTGATGATAGGCATGTGATGAAGGAATATGATGAAGGAATCTGCCTTTAAGAAAAACCTTTCGCAATCGCTCTCGGAAAAAATGAGCTGGCTGCGCGCGCTTTCGAGAGGGTGCCGGCGCTGGCGCTGGTGTTGTGAGCTGGCTGAGCGCGCGTTTGAGACGGGCGGCGGCGCTGGTTGGGCGGCGGCGGCGGCGGCGCTGCCGGTGCTGTTGTCAGGTGGCAATGCGTTCTGTCGAGAAAGGGTACCGGTGCTGGTTGTGCGCGCTTTGGAGGTGCTGTAAGCTCAACAGGCCGTGGGGTTCTGCCTGGTTATCTGGGTCTATGCTGGCGTAATTCTTACTGTAGCTGGAGTGAAGATCTAGACAACCCAGCAAGCAAGCGACCTACGAAGTTCGAAAGCAAAGTGAGAGCCGCCCTCAAAGCCCGCCCTTTTCCATGGCCATCCGGCGTTGACGCGCAAGCCCTGCACTTTTAGGATCTTTTTAAGGCATTTTAGAGAGATGCCATCAGGCACATACATGCCGATGTGGCTTGTTGTGTGAGCATGAAGCAACAGGGGGGAAGGACCTCATACAAGCGGCGTACTTAAGTCAACCCACGTCGCGTGAAGTCAACTCACTGCATGGGCACAAGGTTTCAGCGAGAAGTCAACCCACTCGCGTGAAGTCGACTCAATTTGGTCAAAGCACAATGGGCACACTTGAAAAATGAGCACGGCAGGAAAGTGTATATGTTCAAGGAAAAGTGTGCGCACACTGTGTTATGGCTGGCATTTGGTCTTGCTTTCTAGATGTTTCAAGCCCAAATCCCAATGGCACAGCACCATTCACACCAATGCGCAACTTAGAATAGGCTGCGTGCGCACACACACACACAAGCGACTATAGGCCTCTGCGCGAACCCCGCGACCCCGTTCGCGCGAGCACGACTCCTACAGTCGCCCTACAGCTTCCTACGGCCAACCAAAACAGAAGCAGCAGGAGCAGCAGCAGCCAACCAGAAGCAGCAGCAGCAGTGGAGCATGGGCCCAAGGAGCTCTGCATCAAAACTGTCACAAATCCTTGTCCAGCGTCGGTGCGCAAGTCCCGCCCTGTTAGGGCAATTGAGAGAGATACCGTCAGGCACATACATGCCGATGTGGCTTGTTGCATGCACATGAAACCACACATTATATCCAATATTATCCAATTATCATCTAAGCACTGCAAATGAATCTGATGGCTTTAGCTTCGTCCGCACTTAGCCCGCGCATCACTGATTCAGCTCATGACTTACTGACTTCTTAAGTGGCCATGGACTCAAGTCCATGCTTCAGGCTGCTGCAGCACAGTCCCGGTGAGTTTGCGTAGCAAGCGCGATAAACCCGAAAGGGAGCCAAAAGGCAGGAGGAGCGTGGCATTCGCCTTCAGCTTGAAGTAGCTTGGTCCACTGAAACAGTATCAAAAAGGTTGGACAGCTGCCTTGCAGAGCTGGAGGGCTGAAGTCAAAAGGGGAAGATACACAAATATGAAGCAGAACATTGTTGGATGTGCCCTCAGAACGGGTGCTGGTTTTTGTGATTTGGTGTACTGTGGTCACTTGTAATGATTTGCGGTGCTTGGTGGTGGTTTTGTGCTATATAAGTGCTGATTGTAGTTTGTTGCATGTTGGTACGCTTGGTGATTCTTGATATTTCTGGCCTGCTGCTGATACCCAAACACCGCAGTAGATATTAATCGCCTTTTCACATTTTTTTACGATTCATGTAGGCGCCTCTGAGCTGAGCCATGCGCTGGGCACAGGCCTTATACCATCCTTGGACAAAACAGCGTCTGGGCGAAGGCCAATGGATGTCTATAGAGTCTATAGTTTATTAGTGCTTGGTTGCGCTTGAACCTTGAACCCGTTTTTTAGATCGATGCTGGTGGCAAGTTGCAGCCTGGTGCCTCACACCTTGGAGCCAATCTTCGGACGCTCATCGTCACATTGCACTGCACCAGCACCCAATCAGCTCGTGGCGCGGTTGTGCATGTGTGCCCCGCACGATTGAACCCCCGTGTGTCCTTGCACAAATAGATTGGATGAGAAGTTTCTATAATGATTATGGGACAGTCTAAGTCTTTTGGACTATATATCGCCGAAATGTCAGGACCAGGAACTCTCCATGAAAACCTGAGGTTGAGTCGAGGCAAGCGCAACCATTCCATCCTGGTGCAGCTGTTTTTACCTGCAGCTGGCATTTGAGATCTATTGTTATAATTCTAATTAGACTTAATTCTATTTGAATTCTATTTATTTCTTGTTTCTAATAGCTTCTTGCTCCTAGTAGTAAGGCCAGGAGCCCCTAGTAGCGTCTTTGCTCCTAGTAGCGATGCCGTTTGCTCCTAGTAGCAGCTGGCATTTGATATCTATTGTTGGCAAATCTTGTAAGCACCGATCCGGTGCTTCCTGCCGTCACGCACCAAATCCAACACTGGCTCTTGGTATCCGGCAATGCACTCGAACTGTTCGTTGCTTGATCCGTTGGCCTGCAAGGACGCAAATTCAGAAATTTGATGAGATTTGCCCATAAAGCTGAAGCAAAGTGCTGCCTCGCTGCTGTGGGCCACCATTTGGCAAAACCCTGGGGCTGTTTCATTGGTTGCCTGGACACTGATTCTCGCGTGCCAAGAACATCGAGAAGAACAGCAAAAAACGTGTTTGAGCACAATTAAGTGAACATTTTATGTATTATTCTTGTGAATGCGCATCGATCATTGCGGCGATCAAAGCGTCCTCACCATTTGCATCAAGCTTCAAGGACCTCTGAATCACCATGGACAACTCGAAGAAGCGGAGAGGACAAATATTCAGCCCCGAACCAGTGAGTTCCAAAGCAACACGATTGTTCCAGCCTCAAATTCTTCAAGAAACTTCAAGTTCTTGAAGTATCCCGCTGACCCCTCCCTTCCAAGGCAAGTCGCCCGGGGGGAATGCGAGTCAATTCCGGGTATGGAAGTCGAGGGCGGAACCTAGGTTTCATGTTGATTCATTTTTCTGCTTGTGGGGTGTGTTTTGAGGGATGAAGAGTTGTTTTTGATTGATTTTCATTTAGGTGTCAGAGATTTTACGGATGCTAGGAGTGCCGGGCTAACAAAAGAACAGGGAAAAAGGAAACGAGAAAGTCGGAAACGACTTGGAACGGCAAAAAGGAGAGAAGAAACAGTGGGGGAAACGAAAAAGAAAGGGAATGGCTGCAAAGGGAAGTGAACGGGAGGGTGCAAAGCCTCTGCAAGGCTTGCCAGGTAATCCAGCATCCTTTTGCTGCGTGAACTGGAACTTAAAAGGGTCCGTGTTGCTCGGCTGGTTGGGCTTCGTTGGCTTGGATTGAAAAACCATGCAAAAACTGCACAAACCTCAGGGAAGGGCACAGGGCTGCAGCGCCCCGTTACCCACATGCAAACATAAAGAACATGAGAATTATAGACTCCACTGACCGTCACTGACCGATTAATTGCGAGATCAACACATTCAAAGGCTGTATTTTAAGGGTCCCGGAATCAGTCGTTGCTGTTGTTGTTTTTTGATTGTTTTTCCCCAAGCAGTTTCCTGTTGGGGTTCTATCTTAGAAAAAAATAGCTGGCCACACTCACTGGCCGCGCCCCTGAACTCTGTGGCTGGGCTCTGTCCGGGTCTTGTCCTCCTCTTGGCCGCGCCCCTGAACTCTGTGGCTGGTCTCTGTGCCCCGTTTTGCTGGAGAGGAGTGTGGCCGAACAAATAGCGATGTCAATGCCGAGATCATTTCATTGATGAAGCAGTTTGCTCTTGGGTGAAGGTATACCAAGAAATCGATCTTTGACTAATATTGGTCTAAACGAATCGTTTCGAAGCTGTCTGGGGTCTATGCTTGTATAATTGTTTTTGCTGCTGGTATGGCTGGAAATGCTGATTCCCTGGCGCGCAGCGTTTTGTGCACCTACTTGTAGGAGCGCACTTTGGGAAGCACTGAGCGCTGATCTTAACATCTACTGGTAGGGTTTAGCATCCACCGTTGTGGGTTGTGTTGGTGTTGTGTCAATATTCAAAGTTTTGCAATGTTAAGCTGATTTTTGCGGGAAGCGCAGCACTGTATATGCCCTCGGGTGGCTTACAAAAAGGTATCCAACGGTTTAACCTCTAGACTCTAAACCTTAATCTCAGGTAGCTCACAGAAGATGTACTATGTTGGAATGGTCCCTTTCCTTATCTAAATTTTACCTTGGCAGCACTTTGTAAACCTCGCTGATCTAAGCATCCAAGTTTGTCAGATGGCCAAAGCCTGGTGGCCTTTAGCGTCCACCGTTATGGGGTTGAGGTGGTCTGATGTGTACATGCTTCACATTAGTGTAACAGCTGGTGAAACATTACCTTCATACCTTTTCTATAAATTAAGTTGCTGCCTAATTGTCTTTCTCCGGTGGCAGGCGCAGCACTCTGCGCATTTCCAACAAAACTGTCATGGCGGGCGAAGGGTTTTGTAAGCTGGAACAAACGATTACAAGTATGGATCTAAGAAAGAAACATATTGCGAAAGGGAATGAATACGCTACAATGGGAAAAACAACAACAAGTAACAAGCAGGAGAAAAGGCAGGAAAACCAAACCAAGCACAACACCAGCAGCAAAAGAAAAAAGAGAGGATTCACAAAGAAGCAATGAACAGCAAGGAAAAGCCACAGTCACAAGCACAGAAAAGCAAGAGAGATCACAAAGAAGCAAGGAAAAGCAAGACAAGCAAAAGCAAAGCAGCAAAAAGCAAAAACAAAACAACAAAACCAAAACAGAAAAATCAAAACAACACCTCCGTATTCAAACAGCCTTGTGCACAGCAAGAACGTCTTTCCACGTCAAACAATGCACTTGGCAATGTGAGCCAAGCGTTGGCCAAGTTGACACAACATAGGGAAAGCAAGCTGCTGCGTTTGAGCTGCGCACAGTGAGCTTGTGAAAAGCAAGCTGCGCAAAGCAAGCTGCGCAAATATACTAGCCATGCAAGCCAGTTACTTTGATTCGAGCAACAAGCAAATCAGACTCTGAGAAAACGTTGTTGAAGTTTACAAGCAATGGGAAAAGCCTTGACAAAAACCTGTCCAAGAAAAAGAGTTGAAGAACAAAAGCAAGGCAGTCTTGTGGTCCCGGGTCAGGACCCGTGGCATTGGCCAGCTCTTGAAGTTGCGAGGCGGACATTGGAGTTCTCCTACACAAGCAAAATCCTGGCTGCGAGACTTGGAGAGTTGCCTGCCTGGGCTGGATGCATTCGTGTTACATGAGCGGCGATCTAAACCTCTTACATCCGGTAAAGGACATCAAAAGGGCGTATCGTTTTTTGTTGCCGACCCTATCGCTTTTGAAGGCTTGCGTTGATTTGGGAATCAGCACTCCCAGCATGAAGGCAAATATAGCTGCGCACCCACAGTGGCTGCTTCTTCTTTTTACTGACATGTGACACAAAGCGTTCTATGGCTTTATGTCCCTTGCTATTGAGGCCCATGTGTGGAACACATGTGGACCTCTGGCCGTGTGGGCCAAAAAATGCTTAAATATGGATCAGAGTGGTATCGTTTGCCATGCCGAAAATTCCGCTAACACCCTGCCGTTACGAGGCAACAAAAACAGGAAGGCAGCATCTAAGGGAGCGCAAGGATATGTCTTTCTCAAAGCATATATTAGACTATCAAACTATGCAGTATCTTTATTAAGAGAATGTCAAGACATCACATGTGTACATCACTACTGTTCAGAGTACTTCCCAGAATTCGCTCTGCGTACTCTCTCCACCTTTTTCGCCGACACTCTCTGCAGTTATGGTCTCTGCACATCACCCTGACGTTGTTGCGTTGGAAACTCACAAACTGTGAGCAGTGTTCATAGCCACACATCCACTGGAATGAACACTAGACCTGACAACAGGTCGCCCTTAAAAGATACTCCCAAGGCGGGGGAACCAACGTGGACCCGGCCATAGGGGTGGGCTGGGTGGGACAGAAACTCCACTGTCCCACTTTTGGCTTGAGCCAAAATGGACAGTGTATCAAATGTAATGAAGACTGCGCACCCAAACCTGCCCAAAGCTCGACACAGTTTTACATTACATGTGTACATCACTACTGTTCAGAGTACTTCCCAGAATTCGCTCTGCGTACTCTCTCCACCTTTTTCGCCGACACTCTCTGCAGTTATGGTCTCTGCACGTCACCCTGACGTTGTTGCGTTGGAAACTCACAAACTGTGAGCAGTGTTTCATAGCCACACATCCATTCCTGGATGAAGCTTAGATACCCATCTATGGAGACTCGTCCACCCAGACGTATCCATAGCGATGTATCTACCCAATGCATTTCTCCCAACGCACTTTAAAGAAAGAGACCGACTCGCAGAGTGACGGAAAAGGGAAAATACCAGAGTGGTTCGAAAAATGTGGCCACTCGACTAGTGAAACCCTGGTCGTGGTGCCATCGATCCGCATGTCCCTCACGGGAAATAGCGTCACTCCAATTACTTTTGGAGGGGATCCACTCAAAGTAAATCCAGCATCTAAGTGAGAACAAAAGAATATGAATCATGTGACTCATATGCTCGAGGTCAGGACTGTCTGATCTGCTTTTGATGAGCGCCATCAAAGCAGCTGTATTGTCTATGTACCACGTGCCGCGGCGATTGCGAAATCGCTCAGGAGTAGTTGTCAACGCCATAAGAACTTGCAAGAGCTCTAACTGCGCTATCTTAGCATTCCCTGGAGTCCAAAGAGCATAGATGGACGAGGGGAGATGGGACACAAACCCAAGCCGGATCTCTGCGTCCTCGTGGAAGAAGACAAGGAGAAAACCACCTGTGCCTTCACCTGGGGTCTCCAAGGCAGCGTCGAGACGCCGCAACAAAGCGCTCATGGTGTCTCGGCCAGACATCAAGTTCACGCTCTGGATGGATAGAGATCACGGCTTCGAGAATCTGGAAACATTGTTCAATGGCGGGAGTCATCTGGTCACCACGGACGAGTTGACGCTCCTTGATGGCATGGAGACCTCCACATCCAATCCTTCCGTAGACGCCCTGTTCGAAGAAGTTGGCCAGTCCGTACAGCTTGGCTGCAACCCCAGGCTTGAGAGTTTGTGTATCCCGGCATTCATGGATGATGGCCTTCAACTTGGATTCCAGGCGTTCCCTCGCCCAAAAAGAAACAAAGCCCCCGGATAGGGCGGAAGAGAGATCATGGTCCAGGCCTAGAAATAGCCCCTTGGGGTTCATGGCTCTGCAAAAGGGGTGCCCAGCAGCTGGTTTAAAACGCCAAATGCCCATTGAGCCGAACCCCGGCTCGAAGACCAGTCTTGAATGGATGTGTCATCAAAGTAGAGCGAAACTAAGACGTAGCACAGACGCCGTCCAAGGGCTTCCACAAGACGGCTGTATCGATTGAATGAGGTAACGGCTAACGGAAGACCAAACAACAGACCAGCATAGACTTGGAAGGCCGGAGCAGCCCATTCATGATGCCAAAAGGAGGTCACAACGCATCCCCGCGTTTCGTAGACCCCCATAGGACTGTGGCGATAGGCATCCGGCCAATCTTCTCCACCTGACTCCCAGGTGTCGGTAGCCGCTGCTCGGGCTAGCTCGGACGAGCTCATGTGGCGTAGGACTTGGCTGATGTGTTGGGCTGGTCGGAGGGGCGAGCAAAGCACCAATTTGTTGGCATCGGATGACCGCAAGGTTTGTCCTCCCGCATCAGCATTGTCGATGATACGCTGCTTACCCGAAGATTGGGTAATCACACAGCGTGGGATCAGACGATACGGCTGCCCATGCAGCTGCTGACGCAACTGGGCCAGGGTCAATGGGGGGGTACAGAAACCCCGCGCTGCATCCTTCGTAGACTGTT